AAAGACCACATATTGAATTTGTTGTTGTGACAGAGCTCTAATGTGTTAAGTTTTATCAACCCATAAATGGTGTATGTTAGATGATAATTCCTCACAGGAAGCAAGTAATGGTATTGTAACAGTGTTGTTTAAGGATTTCAATCTTGCACGTGACTTTTGATTTGGACGACAAAATGGATTGCCTTAGGTTTTCATATCATGGTTAAGGAGTAAATGTTTGAGTATCAGACTCATTGTTGTGTTCGTGAGGTTAAAAAAAAAACAAAAAAATAGGAGAGAGAGTCTGCCCATAGATAGATGATCTCAACTTGTTGAGATTTAAGTATGGAATAGAAGGTTAAAGGATGGAAATAATTGTTGCCTCTAAGATGGTTATGCTGTCTTGTCTAAGCATATTGAGTGGCATTCCTTTCGTTTCATACACACATTGATTTAATGAGTGTACCTTTCCTACACCTACAGGATATGCATAAAACAGTTGTAGTTTATCTCAGTCAGGTAATTGAAGATTCCAGAACTATATGAAGAAAATTTGTTGCGTTGGATAAATGACTCGTAAATGAATAGGAAAAAGAAAAGGGAAAAGAAGAAACATAAGGGACAGAGTTTCCATAATCAGAGGAATTTGAAATTTACATAAATCATGCTTTATTACTCTGCTTCTTTTCTTGGCTAGAAGATGACCTAATCCTTGACTTTTTAAGAGCATCAAATAATCGTTCCATTGGCTTCTGATTCAGTTTAAAATTGTTGCCAAAGATTTGGTAATTTCTCAATAATTTTTTTCATCTTAACCATCCAAGTGTTAAAATAGCCATCTTAATAATAAAAGACTCAAAGGGAATGAGTTCAATTTATGGTGGCCACATTCTTACGAATTTATTATTTTAATATCCTACTATTATCTTTCCAACCAAATGTTATAGGATCAAATCGTTATCATGTGAGAATGTATGTTCTTGCCAAACCAAACACCCATGGATATAATTTATTTTTGTTTGCATCTTTGACTTCTTCTCTATCATTTTTCATTTGTGCACAATCATTTATTTGAATTCCAACTTTATCATTTGATTTTTATGTGAACATAGTATCATTTGATCTTTGGAGTGACAGGCCAACTTTATCAGCTGCTTAAGTTTTGAGATCTTTAAAATGTCTGATCATCAGAATTTCCAGAAGAAAAACTTCTGCTTATTTCGTGTGCACTACATCAGAAAATAAGACTGACAGTGACAGTTCCGATTATGATTCAACTTATCATTCCAAAGATTTTTTTCTCAACTTGATTTGCATTAATGATTTCTAGTGGTTAGTAGTATTTGGTTTTAAAACTTGTCAGCTGGTATTATTATTATTTCTTTTTTACATGAAACAGAACTTGTCGGCTGTTACTGCTTTGGCCAAATTCCAATTATCTTTTTGGTGTTTCTTGATTTGTCTTGTAACTATACCTCCTTTGTAATTAACGCAAGTTTGGTTAGTTCCTTGGAAACTCCCAATGGAGGTTAATAGTTAGGTTATGTCTTTAGGTAACTTTCCATCTAATCGACAAAAAATCAGTCTGATTGAAAACTTGTATTCTGTCACTTATGGTTGCCTACCTTAAAAACACCCATAAAAGTGTGTTTTTGGGCACTAACGCACCAGTACCATTATGCAGGACATTTATTGAGGACTCTCAAGCTGGCATTAAGATATCACCACAAGATAATAACTATATGGGATCCACTGATAGGCTGGTGACGCTGTCTGGAACCATAGAGGAACAGATGCGAGCTACTGACTTGATTGTCTCAAAGCTATCTGAGGATCCACATTACACCCAGTCAATGAATTATCCATTTTCATACCCGAGTATGTCTTTATTTAGCTTTTCTATTTCATTGTGGTATTATATTTTTCCGAACAAAAACTATTAAATGCTCACTTGCATTTTGTGGTTCACAAAATGTCCATCTTTTTTGGGGCACTTTCTTTCATCTGCTATATGTGATGCTGTTGTCTTATCTTTGTTATGACACGAGTAATTTATGTTTTTATGCAAATCAAACAGGTAGTGTAGTTGAAGGTTTAAATCACAACTGAAGAAAAATATTTATACTTAAGAAAAAGAAGGACAAGATGAATAACTAGTTTTCCCGCATGTAAATTCTTGCTGTTTTCGTTATTTTCCTTAGCCATTTAATCTTTTACTTGCTTTTGCTACAGCATCATACAATGCTATGAACAATGCTATGAACTCCGGATCCAACGGAGGAACTGGAGGGAGGTTTCAAAACAACAAGGTTTGTGATACCATGGCAATTTATATCGTTATTATGAGATTTTCCAGAAAGTAATTGAGAAATAATTAACGATGGTTTTATGTGGATGATAGATTATATTGTCTGAACAACATTCCCATGCCATGCGTAGTATTAACTAATATAGTTGATGTTGACGATAAAATGACTTAAATCTCATCAATGTGAGGCTTCTGTTATTTTATGACTTTCTTACATTCAAGAATTTCCTGATGCCAAAATTAGGCAGTAAATATGTTCCTTTGATACTGGATTTCTTTATCAATGAGCAAACATTCACTGCGACAAAAGGCTAAATTGCAGAACAATGTGGATTAGCTGTTCAACTTTCAGTAGGGTAAACAGAAGCGAAGTAATGAAGAAAAAGAAAAGAGTGAAAACAGGATAGCAAGTAAATGAAACCATTTATCATGGTGCAGAACTCAATTGAGCTTCATGAAAAAACCGTAGATAGCCTTCCTGTATTATGCTCTGAAAGAGAAATTTTATGCATTTTCTGTTTTTTGTTGCTGTTTAATCCATCTGTTTGTTGCTGTTTAATCCGTCCTTTCGTTGCTGTTTAATCTGTCTTTTTGTTGCTGTTTAATCTGTCTTTTTGTTGCTGTTAATCCGTCCCTGTAGATAAGTGGAATCTAGATACTGGTTTTCTCTTTTTAACAACTATGTTTCTCTCTATCCCCCCAACTAACTGCTGAAAAAGTGTTTACAATGCATGCAACTGCATGAAATGAGGACTTTATGCAATTGCACATATATATTTCTTATACTTCTCTGTGACTTTATGATATTGCTGACAGAAGATCTTTTGAAATTGTCTAGGAGGAACGGAATAACTCCTTGACTATTGGTGTTTCAGATGGCCACATCGGATTAGTTGTTGGTCGTGGTGGAAGAAACATACTGGAAATTAGTCAGGTTTGTGTAAACCCCTCCACCTCCAACGCGTCCTATTTCCTTTCCGTGCAAGGTTGATAGTATTCAAGTCACAAATGTTACTCCATGTATTACTTTTTTACATTCAAAAGCGTTTCTTATTACAGGCTAGTGGTGCCAGAATTAAGATATCTGATAGGGGAGATTTCATGTCCGGAACCACTGACAGGTACAGAGGTTCTTTTGATATATTTACTCCCTTTATACTGTTGGTCTGTAAGTTCTTCATGGTAACAGTTGTATACTTGATCTGGAAAAGAAATGGGAAAATTTTAGGGAAATATGCAACTGTTACCATGAAGTCAAAGGACTCCAGTGAAGCAAAATAAAACGTAATGGATAATTATAAAAGTCTTTACATGCAGAGAACCAAAGAGAGGCATGATATGTAAAGATTCTTGTAATTATCCATTAGGTTTTATCTTGTTTGATTGGAGCCTTTCTTAGACCAGCCGACTCTTTTAGGATGTTTCTTTTTATTAAATTACAAGTTTAGTTCGTGCAATTTGAGGTCTTTTGTCTGTTCGAAACAAATACAAGTCAAAACTTAATTTCATTTTATGTCTAATAGAACCCTTTTCAATTATATGTCTAGTACATATGTGAATTTTAAATAGTTTGTAAATTTGGAATATTAGAGACTAAATTGGTACAAATCTCAAAGTTCAAGAACTAAAATTTTAATCGAACACATGCATACTTGATTGGTCCACAATTTGCAGGAAAGTAACGATTACTGGGTCACAAAGAGCAATCCGCGCTGCTGAATCGATGATTCTGCAGAAAGTAGCATATGCTTCTGAGAGGGTAATGCCTTTCAAATCCATTAACGATGCTTTGTACAGTTCTCTTACGATCTATAGCATTTTTTTCGTTATCGAATCGATGCAGGTTCTAGCACAGTGATAGAGTGGCGAAAGCTCTGAATGTTTGTAGAAGCAAGGCCGGGAGGTTTTCAGTTTTACCATTGAGGGAGAGCATGGCAATGGCAATGGAAATGAGAGGAAAAATAGAGTTAAGATTTCCTGGTACGTTGAGAGAGATACGCCATAATTTGATTGATGAGCCAAATAGAAAGATTAGCAGTGTCAAAGTTGTTTATACAATTGTAGCTTTGAATTTATTTTATATTTATGTTTTGAGCTTTATCTCTATTATATTGTTTGAACCTGCCTTCTCTTCACAACAGATTGTAGCTTCTTAGGATGTTCTATTTTTATTAATTGGTGAATTCTTTAGTCTTTATGTTGGGGTTTGCGGAGAGATTTTGTTCTTGTATGCTCTGTTAGCAATAACTATCATATATATGCATATACCTCCCATGTGGGCTTCTGGGCCATCTTTTGGGCCTCATGAATTTGAGCCCGACTCCATTAGTCGTTTTGCTGGATGTCGACATGTCGGAACTCCTGTTTTCATTGTTGTTTTCATTATCCTTCTTCTTCCCTGACCTTAAAATTTGGTGAGTGTTTCCTATCGTTTATAATATTTTATGTTCTACGGTTAAGATAGATCTGGTCTTTTAGATTTTTTGTTTTTGAAATTTGGTTTTATTTCCCCTCTATATTACGTTCCTTTTGATTAGTAGCTTTTATTGATTAAGAGATGATAAGAAAGAGAGTAAAATTGTTAATAACTGGAAGATGTATTATTTGAAGCCTCGCAATACAAACACACCACATTTTATTATCATCTTTCTAAGTCGACGCTGCTATTACACTCTTTATTTCTTCAAATGCTTTCCTCATGTATATATTATTCTTAATCCCCACCTCCTCCATATCCCGACCCATATCCCGAACCATATCCGGACCCTCCTCCCATACCTTCTCCGCCCCCGCCTCCGCCGCCACCTCCTCCACCACCACCCCCACCTCCACCCCTACCCCCACCACTTCCATACCCTCCTCCACTCCCATATCCTGAGCCATATCCCGAACCACTTCCAATTCCCGAGCCTCCTCCTCCCCCTCCACCTCTGCCACCTCCTCCACCACCTCCTCCGCCACGTCCTACTCCACCACCAGACCCATACCCTGACCCACTTCCCGATCCAAAACCCTGACCATACCCGGCTCCATTTGCACTGCCGCCTCCTCCCCCACCACCACCTCCTCCCCCTCCACCTCCACCACTCCCATATGGCCCATACCCTTCATCTCCATATCTAGGATAGCCACCGTCGCCATACCCCGAACCATACCCAGAGCCATACCCCGAACCATATCCCGAACCTGACCAAGGTCTTGAACCTTCTCCCCCACCTCCACCTCCACCACTACCACCCCCACCACCACCTCCGTACCCCCTAAGGAATCTAGCAGCAAGAGTTAAGTCCGCCATTAACAAAACCAAGAGCACCAAACCGATAGCCCCGTTGGTAGCCATTGATGATTAAACTCAATAACGTAGAGAAAAGTTAAAAGCAGGTTATGTGAGAATAGGAGGGAAGGGAGGTGTTGGGATGCTTTACGTAAGCCAAAGGTTTGATTTTTGATGCGTGGAATTGATGGGATTTATGGTCCCTTATTTATAGGCCTCGCAAAGCGTATGTTTTGAAACTCATTTTAGCAATTCTAGTACCTTCTCTTCCTCACTTTAGTGGAGTTGGTGAGTGTAGTGGCCATCAAATAAGCACACACTACCGCCCTTCCTTTCCTACCTCTCTATTCTCTCAAATTATTCCATTCTCACCCCAATAATTATTGAATCAAACCGCTATTATCACAATTTTTTATCGATGAATAAGAGATCTACAGAACTTTGAATCATATTAAACGATTATGATAAAAAAGTCGTGTTGTATTGTATTGTAACAGTTTCATTAAATAATTTATTTTTATGATTCATTCATGCATTTCCATTCCATATTTTTTCTTCCACTTTTTGACTTTTACTACAAAAACTCGTTGTGGTTTGTGTTCACATGTTGAAAAGATAATATTAAAGAATTTATATCTTTTCTTCATGTGCTTACCATTATTATTATTGTTTAAGTGCTTTCCCGATGGTGTAGCTTTTTAATTTCAAGTTATTTGGGAGATTATATGAATTCCAATTTATGAACCCATCTATGGGTTAGATGAGCTAAATTTACGGGTTGTTTTATTAATAAATAAAGTAATTAATTAACCCAAATTGAGATTAACGACCTTACATAGACACATTTAGATAATGTTTTAACACTGTTAAACTATTCTTTATCTTATATTCCTATATAATGGTTAATTAGAAATTATTAGAAAAACCAAAAAAAATATTTGAGAAATTAACCAACCACAATTTAATACAATTAAAAGGATGAGAGAAAAATGAAATTATTAGTAAATCTATTATTTCATCTCTAAATTTTAAAAAATTAAAATAAAATTAATTTTATATTAATATAGACACATTTACAAGCCACGTGTCGTCTTTCTCTGAAGTTATGGCATTGAACCGCGTGAGTCAAAGTGGTGCTTGTGCTTGTTTTATTAATCATTACATAAATTCTTCCAGAATTTCAAAATAATTTTTTATTTATGACCAATAGGCAATTGACACAATATTGAACCTTCTAGAGATACTTATTTATTTTATTTTTTCAATATATAGAATGTTCTTTTTTAATACGACTTATTATTATTATTATATTTAATAAAGAAGTAAATTATACAAAAAAAAAAAAAAAAATCATTAAAACCAATAATTAAAATTTGAATCCAATTCCACAAAATTAAAACTCCAAAAATTAATGGATTTGCGTTAGTGGAAAATTATATCTAATTTCATCCCTTTTTCTCAATTCTAAAGCTTAAAATGACAAATGGCAGTTCCTTCTGTGGATTATATAATATGGTTCCTTAGAAATCATATTAACATTACCATATGCTCCCACCTTAGTAAATAAATAAATAATAATCCCAATCTCTTGAAATTTTACCTTTTTTTGAGTGAAAGTCAGATGAATTCACAACCATACATTTGGAATATGTAGGTGAATTTTTGTTATTAATTATTATTATTATATGGTTCAAAGTGATCTCCCATCATATATTATAGATGTCATATGAATAATTTATTTTGAAGGGTCTTTAGAGTTTGGACAAAACCTGTTGTTGTTTGAATTGTGAGACAAGATCCTTCCTCAAGATTTTGCCTGCAAGTGACCTTGGAATGCTACTCATGAATCTCACCCCTCTTATCTTCTTGTAGGCTGCCACCTGAAAATATTCACTCCTTTAATTACAGTAATTTTTTAAATAAGAACAGTACTAATCTTCATAATTCGAAGCAATTTTTTCAATTAAGATTAGATTAATGATCATAATCATGATCAAAACAACATTAATTATTTATTTAATTCCCCATATCTATGGTGTAATAGCTGTCCGCGTCATTTCCTAATTAAATCAGGAGAAAATGGATACATTTGGATGGTTGCGTGGGCTAGGCCTGACCCATTTGACCCATTTGAGGCTGGGCTCATTTGAGGTTGGGCCCAATTAGGGCAAAATTAGGAGATGGGTGCAAAGAGGTAGTACCTGGGAAGCGACAAATTGAATGACCTGTTCTTCTGTGAGCTTACAACTGGGTGCTTTCACCACACAAGCCACCGGAATCTGGCCGGCTGCTTCATCCTCAGCTCTGCAAAAACGGTAGTCTCTATGTTCAATGTTTGGTTCATAGGTTTATTAAAGAGAAAATTAGGAGAAAGAGATTAAACTCACGGTATAACGGCAGCATCTAGAATTTCTGTATGGCTCAAAAGAATTGTTTCCAGTTCCGCTGGAGCAACCTGAAGTTCTTGGCGTTAATGTGATTATGTTATGATAGAATTGAGGCGAAGCGTTTGTTTGTACCTGATATCCATTGTGTTTGATCAGTTCCTTGATTCGATCAACGATGTAAAGGAAGCCATCTTCGTCTATGTATCCGAGATCTCCTGTTTTCAACCATCCTTCTTTATCCATGGTGGCTTCTGTTGCTTCCTTGTTTCTGAGATATTCTTTCATAATCGTTGGACTCTTCAGCCACACTTCGCCTTCCTTCATCGGCGGTAGTCCCTCTCCTGTTTCAATGTCTACGATCTTTGCACAAAATCTCGGCATCAACATTCCACATGAACCTTGTTAGGAATGTGAATCAATGATTAAATTTACAACAATTTTGGATTCAACACTAAATTTGTAGTACCTAATACCTAATTTCAGATCCACAAATGAAAGAGTTAAGAATTAATTTGAATTGGTGATTGCCAATGTTGCAGTACCTGGATGAGCTCTTGCGTCTTTGTCTGTGATCATGCAAGTCGCTGCGCCAGTACTCTCTGTTAAGCCATATCCTGGCCGAAGCTCCACCCATGGAAATTTCTCTCGGAAAGCTTCTTCTACGTCTTTTCCCAGCGGTGCAGCTCCAGATCCAATACGTCTCAGCGATGATAGGTCTGAACCACCGCTCGATTTCACTAGCCCTAAGATCACCGGAGGTACTGCCGGTATGTTATTTACTTTGTACGTTTCAATAGCGTCGATCATGGACTGGAAATTGAATCTCTGCATCAAAACAATGGTAGTTCCTCTGCAGAAGAGTCCGAGTCCGAAGAAGACGAGGCCGTAGATGTGAAACATTGGAACGAAGCACAAAAACACGTCATCTTGAGAGGAACTCGCGTCCACGTACCAGGTTAGAAGTTCGATAACTGAGATAAGATTTGAATGCGTTAGAACAACACCTTTACTCGTCCCGGTAGTTCCCGACGAGTACAAGATAGCCGCTGCATCCGACTGAGCGATTTTCGTTTCCGGCATTTGCTCAAACGATTCGATACAGGATTCGATCAACTCTTCAACCGATAAAACATCGCCATAAGAAGGCTGAGTAGTTAGAATCGTCGGTATTCCAGTCGGACTCAATTTGTGAAGCTCCTCGGGAGCCGAGATAGCGAGTTTGGCACATGAATCGCTCACTTGCTTTCCGATTTCCGACGCAGTATTTACAGGATTAGCCGTCGTTATCACCGCACCAATCGACAACACAGCCAAACAGATCACCGGATACAAAACAGAATTCGCGGATAAAACGAACACCACATCGCCTTTTCGAACTCCAAGTGCGTGATAAAGTCCGTAAGCGAGGGAGCGAGTCGACGCACTGAGTTTTCCATAAGTAACTCGCGAGCTCGTGACCGAGTCGATGAGAGCAACTCGCGATTCGGCCGTCGGAAACTGCGATAAAACGAAAGTAGCCGTGTCGAGGTCTGGACTGGTGGAGATCTTAGGCGCTTCATCAAGCTGGACGAATGAATGATAAACCGCAGTATTCACATCGTAACCACCCGGAGAGTTCATCGGCCGAAATTCTACGGCGGCCGGAGCAGTGCAGGATTCTTCGCGGGACATATTTTTGCGTCGACGAGTGAAGGTTCAAAAATCGGTTATCAGTGAGTGCAAAGGTATCAGAAACAGGCTGACAAACTTGTGATGCCTTTAGGCGACATAATCGACGTTTCCTTTTCTTTTTTTTTTTTTTTTTTTTTTTCTTTTTTTTTTTCGTCTTTACTTAAAAAAGCAAGACAACGAAATGTGGGGTTTTAATTATTTTTTGAACAAATTTATATATACTCGGCCGGCCAAAATTATGTTTTAATTATACCAAAATTAGAAAAAGTTTCATTTTTAAGCTTAGATTTTAATTAGGGCTGAAAATATTTATTTCTTAAAAATTAAAAGTCTAGGGTTTATTTCCTTCTCATAATTATTTACATGTAAATAATGAATTTATTTGCCCCTGGTTATACTTCTTTGAATTATAATTTATAAAGGGCTTTTCATATTATTCTTATTCCAACTCATTATTCTAACTCCCTTTCGTGTATTTACTATTTTGAGTTCTAACTCCCTTTCGTGTATTTACTATTTTGAGTTCGGTTGAATCTTATTTTAGTTATGATTTCTAAATTATAAATTAAAATTTTAATCTTGTTTATTTAGTATTTATTAATTTACATGACATAAAATTATAAAGTTCAGAATTTTATTAGTAATTTGTAAAATTTAATGAAAATTCAAATATTAATTTAACAACAATGGTAAATGAATGATGAATAATGAGACAGTCCATTGGAATTGAGCTCATGTTTGCATACATGACTTATTATGCTCTACACTTTTCTAGAAACAAAAAGATAAAAACAAATGTGTAATTAATATCATATGAAGATTAATTTAAACTTTTTTTTTCTTTGTTATTGTTAATTTGATAAAAACGAGGATCACAGTTCACATACCTACTTTAACTAGTGGGTTATGCTCTGATTTATTAATATACCATTTGCTTTCCTAACATGTAACATATTTTGGTACAAATAAATGGTCCGTACTTTATTAATTGCCACCTAGCTTTGATGC